AGTTTAAAAACGGGTTTGTTGTTAGTTTAATGGAGTTTGCATTGTGACACACCAACCCAGTCTCACAGCATTTCGTGTTATAGTCACGACATTTAATTTATTGATTCGTGTTCACCAACACGATTTTCCCCTTTTTTTCGTGTCACACAGAACGATTTAAAAGCAATGTATTTCTATTGGTAGTGTGTTTTGTGTCTGCAACACGTCTTTCTGTCCGGTCTGGTCTTGGAAGACCGGAAGCTGTGTGGTTCATAAAAACATTTTCTTACTCAATATCAAGCCACGATTATTGTTTTTATTTTAAATCGTATAATGTCTGACTTTTTTTGCCGTCCGCGAGGAAAATAAATGGGGCTCAGAGCCTCAGAATACTGAAATCTGTATTTTATAAATCTTTTTTCCTTCTAAATTGTTATTATTTGGTGCAGGCACGAAACATACTACCAATAGAAATACATTGCTTCTAAAATCATTCTGTGTCAGAATACTGAAATCTATATTTTTTCCTTCTAATTTGTTATTATTTACATTGCTTTTAAAATCGTTCTGTGTGACACGAAAAAAATGGGGAAATCGTGTTGGTGAACACGAATCAATAGATTAATTTTGTGACTATAACACGAAATGCCGTGAGACTGGGTTGGGATTGTACCTACAGAGTGCGAGCATTCGTGAGCAACTGGATGCTGTCTACAGTTTATTGGCCACCGGTGTCATTGATAACAAGATTTAGACCGTAGCATGGTATTAAGGAAGATTTAATTCTATTGCGTTTTAAATGAACATTTCCTTTGTAAGATACAGTAATTAATAGGTTTCAAATTCTGTTGACACAAGATACATTTTTTTTATCGGAACATACTAATACTTTAAAGCTAAACAAATTTGAAATAACATGTATTCTGTGCAAAAAGCACATACATTGCTTTTGAACCAATTGTGTTTGGATTTAAATAGAACATCAGAAAACAAAGTTATGAGGGCTCTTTTAAAAGCAATAGCTGCTGTTCGAATCTTTATTCGTGATTGTGAATATTCATTAACACACCTGATATTCCACGTGCACCCCTCTCTCCTGGGTCACCTTTGATTCCTGATATACCCGGTGTTCCTCGATCACCTGCATTAAAAACAATACGTGTCAAAGGCGCTCTAAAAAAGTCGGTCTGAACTAAATTATTACATACAGTATAATATTGATTAATACTGCAGTTACATTATCTATTAATCTCATGCAAAGACACCATCACTTCATCATCTTATGTAACTCTAAAAGGTACCAGGCGCTCCTGGGGCTCCTGCTTCACCCTGGAAACCCTTTTGACCTGGGGCACCTGCACACAAATGATTATAGATTCAACACATGACTGCCACTCTTAGGATTTAACAGATAAAATCAAATATCCATGTGGAACTAGAGTTTTTACCTGGAATTCCATGGATACCCTGCTCTCCTGTAGAACCTAAATCAAACAAAGAAATTCATGTTGAAGTGATTTGTACATGGTCTAACATATGCAATAACAGTGCTATTGTCTTTAAATGTGATCCCTCTATGACTTATGACCTTACCTTTTGGCCCCACAGGACCAGGAGGGCCAGCAAGACCGGGACGTCCCGCCTCGCCTTGAGTTCCTGCCAAAACCCAGGTCTTGTTATTATCAAAGATTGAACCCAAAGAGTAACTTGCGATAATTCAACTAAAAATGACCTACCTCTGTCTCCTTTCTCTCCCAAACCTGGTGGTCCAGCCTCTCCGCGGGAGCCCATTGGTCCATCCCGGCCCCTCTGGCCTGGTGGACCCTCAGAACCTTGTTCACCTGGTCACAAATTAGGAGAGACTCAGCCCATGTGTTCTTATTGCCAGTGTTTTTTGTTCTCAAAGAACCAAGTCAACAATCTAAAATGAACGCTACCTGCACTTCCCTTTGGTCCCCTCGGTCCATCCTGTCCGGGGTGCCCAAACTGCCCAGGAGGGCCTATAGAGACAAGATATATGAATAGAACAAGATATATGAGTAGACAGGATCAAGCAGTGAGTTTGTCACAAGGAAATAGCTACAACACATTAGTTTTCAGTCTCACCTGGCAGGCCAGGAAAGCCACCGTCACCTGGAAAAGCCAGAGTTAAAGCCATTATACAGCTTAATGAATATCACCTATTGCTGAAGTTAAGAATTCATGACATTTTCTCAGTAGCTTACCTTTTTTTCCAAGCATCCCTGGATCACCTGTGAAGAAACAGCCAGCCTTTATGATGGATATCAACAAAAGATACATTTCCAAATGACTTAATAATTTGTGCAAACATGCCTTTAGGTCCTGGGTCTCCTCTCTCCCCTTTTAGTGAGTATGCAAGTGAATCTGAAAATAGAAAAACATTTTTGAATGTGAATCAATATACAGTATATGAAAAATAAGTTGTTTCACTGACACAGGGGTTGATTTGTTGGTAATATAACTGATTAGTGTGTTATATTTCTGTACCTCTCAGAGCATCAGAGCGGAGTTCAGTCCTGACCAGATGCTGCACGGTTCTCTGCAGGGCGGCACTGTCTTGCCCTGGCCCACTCCCAGCGCCTACTGCAGGCCCAGTTGCCCCCAGGTTGATCCCATTGTCAGAGTGGGTCAGGGTAGACACAGCAGAACTCCTCTCGATGTACGTGGAGTCCAGCGGGTCGATGATGTTGATGCCAGAGGCGGCCGAGAGGCGGCTGGACCTGGCTGAGGCCGTGCCAGTGATGGCTTCCAGAGCTTCGACACGGTTCTGCAGGCGTTTCACTTGTTCACCTGTGAGGCCAGAGAGATGATTATTGATATTGTTAGAGCCAGTATTTTCTTTTTATAAGAAAGGCCACCTAATCGTCGTAATTTTATTTGAGTTTTGCCTCTTTGTTTTGACTATTGTAAAGGCCTCTTTTCTTTGTTGAATGTGTAAAAGTTTGTTATTTTATTTTGAGCAAACCCATGGTATAATATCATCCCACCATTGGAGGCCAAGCAACTCATCAACTGTAAGTAACACAAATATAAAGGAAAGAAAACTAGTAAAAAATGTCAGTTTAAGGCGTCTAGTGGCTTGGTAGAAAAATAAGGACGGAAGCCACGACAGATATGTAAATGGGTTTGACTGACACGCATGGAGGTCATGCAAAGAGAGAATGCACATCTTACCCAAAGCGATGAGTCCAAAGAGGACGCCGAGGAGGAGGAGCAGGCTGAGCAGGAGGCCCAGCAGCCACTTCCACCAGCTGCAGCAGGAGCAGAAGCTGAAGACCGAGTCACTCTCTCTGATCTCTGAGAAACAGACACACAGGTTCACATTTTCTGTCCTCTTTGTATTGTTTCTGGAAGACCAGACCCTTTAGTAAAATATGTAATGATTAGTTATCAACATTTTCTAAGCTTATACAGTAGGTCCCTTATTGTATCTTATATTTGCATAAATTAATTTCTGCTTTATTGCGAGAGTTAGATGAGATTATCGATAAAACTCTTATATTAATTTAAATGTAAAGCTAAGCCAGGAACAGATTAGCTAGACATTAGCCAAGACATAGTTGTCTTTACACTTTCAGTTTCTGCACATGTTATACAAATAAGATGTTAATTATTGAGTTTCGAGAAAGTATATCGATGAGCAAAAACCATGTCAGGTGGTTTCCACAGAACGGACAAAACATGTTTAATGACCATAAACACACTCATACCGTCCATAGGTACCGGCGGTCTATCAGCCAAAACAAACTTAAGTTTGTGTCAATCACTTGCACGTCACTTATGGTATGATGGGCATTCCCTTTCCGGTTTGATTCTCTAGTTTGTTAAAGTGTTTCGGCAAATGTTAAAGTGTTTCTGGACTTGTACATTTGTCTCAGTTCTTGTAAAAGTGTTTCGCTAATGTAATTTTGTTTTATAAAATGTTAATCTGTCTCTAGCTTTGTAAAAGTGTTTCTCATCTTGTTAATTTGTTTTTGTTAATGTTAAATAGTTTTTTCTTTGGTAAAAGTGTTTCGCTAATGTAATAAAAAAAACAAAATGTAATTGTGTTTTTATAAAATGTAAATTTGTTTTATAAAATGTAAATTTGTCTCAAGCTTTGTTAAAGTGATTCACACTTTTTAATTGTCGATTGCACCTCTCAGCCACCATAGCCTACAGATGTCAGAGTTGTATCTTCTCATCAACTCGTATTTTCTACAATGAACATTTTTTTCCATATCTAAACATTCAACCTACATCATGTTTGATCTTTAAAAAATATTATTAGGTAATCTTCCATATAGAAAGAAAGTTAAAGTGAGATTTTTTACAGTACCTGCGTAGGTGGCTTTGTCTTTTGTGACCACTTTTAGGGTTGCCGCTTTAAAAAGAAAACAAATGAAAAACATTGGAAACAATTACATGCCGAGCAACAGATATAATGTATGTGATGAATCATGAGGACAATAAGTCTTGTTGTCTACATTTAGTATCTGTTCCTTCCTCCATTGTGCTGGATGATAACTTCTGTTTCTCTCTCTGTAGGGAGTCCCCAGAGAAGAACGCTAAAATACAATAGTACATTATCAGTTTTAATATAGAGGAAGAATTATCATCTTTGGTGATTTTTTAATATATCAGTACTAAGTTTTTAGTATTACCAGAAGTAGTAGCATGTGCAGTAGACATGAACTGCTTCCCTGTGTCTTTGGTCATGACCAGCCGCTCCGTCTCCTTCTTCACGGGAGCATTCTCCTTCTCTATCAGCACAAACTTAAAGTCTTTGCCTGGGCTCTCATCATTAATGGGACTGCTGGGTCTCACTGTGATTAACAAAGAAACAACCATTAAAACTCATATGATGGCCTATTGAGTGCAGACATTCTGAATTACATGTGATTTAGAAACAAACAAAAAAACAATTATAGTCACTTTCCTATGCCTAATACTAAATCATTGTATTTACTATACTCTGAATGAATTTAATGTACAGTATAATTATGTTAAGGGGGTGTTTGGTCAAACAAAAGGGGGTAAACTCTGTTTCATAAAGACAAAGCAATTTTTAAACACTAATATCTATCCCTCACCTGTGGTTGTGCCGATTACAGTACCAGACACATTTTTCTGGACACCATAAACTGTGAGGAGACAACAGGCACGGTAAAAAGTAAAACGGGTTTGCTCAAAAATGTTCTAATAATAAAGCATATAGAACACATTGTTTTTCTCTGAGACTCTCTGCTATGTTTCCTTATAAGAGTGGTATTTTGTGAAATCATTTTGTTTGCTAATACAACAGTTTTTTCATGAAACTCACATGATGTAATTCAATGATTCAATATTGACATGGCTATTTGAGGTTTCTTTTTGTAGATGAAGGCCCCTGGGCCTGTGGGTGGTAGGCCTGTTCAGTAATCCATCCATGGCAGTACAATATTATCTGGTTATGACAATTAGAAGGAAATCCCTACTTTACCTGTTTGTGTGTTGGCTCCAGTGGCAGAGAAGGCCATGGGGCTGGTAGTGGCCAGGTTATTCTGAAGACCATACATAGGAACTGAGATAGAGAGAGAAACAACATATGTATCTACTGTCAGTGCTCAGCTCAGGATGTGAAACCACAGTGGGCTTTGACATGACAGGAAGAGAATTACCAGTGCTGCCAGCAGAGAGTCCACCGTTCATCGATGGGGAGCTGAGGGTCAGGTTGTTCTGAACTCCTGCACAGACAGAAAACATCACACATATATCACAGTTGGCTAAAACCTAAAGCATAAATGCATGCCTTATTCACCTATAACTACCATCTTACATAGACCAATGAATATTGGACATCAGGTCAAGTCTATTTATGTAATAAATCACATAGTTTAACTCTGCTAAAGTGTAGCAACAGGTGGCGGATGTTATTAGACTGACCTGATGAGTAAAGGGTGGAGGTAGCCGACAGGTTATTGGGGTTAGTGTTGTAACCGTAGCCACTGCTCCCACCTCCGGACCAAATGCTGCCATAGTGCTCTGGTAGGAAAAAGAAAAAGGAGGAATGTAGAACATTTACTAAAAATGAATATAAAAAAAGATAATTTGTATGAATTGTGTTGAAAACCCTCCTGTCTATGGTCTTGACTCTTGAGGGAGGCGGGGCTTAGCTTCCACCTACCAGGCCACACCTGAACTAATTGAAGGCGTTCATCAGCCCTGTTCAGCCTCCTTCCTGTGTCTGAAGCAGCATGCTGCGTAACATGTGCTCTCCTCACATGTGCTCACCTCATCCGTGGACAGTTTGATGCATTCTTTGAGTAAGTCGTTAACATGGTTTATAGTTATTGATGGCTTTGTTTATGCTTACTATGTTAAAGCAACATTTATTTTTGATTGAACCTTAGTGTTCTGCTTTTCCTGAATGCTATTATTGTGTTTATATCCTAGCTTTGAAATCATCTTGTGACAGTCAACAACACTTGTGAAGGAAATAAACGGCTCTCATCTCTGGTCCAAAGCAGAAGCACTTTAGGCAATTCTCAAACCCAGCTAAATAAGTTTTCAAACATTTTATTAGAATTTTTCAAGGTCTACTGTGACGGATTAAGAGGGATATATTGGCAGAAATGAATCACCTGAAAATAACTGACATTATTATTGTTAACTGAGATGGAGCCTCTCTATCTTCATAGTAAGCGGGTCCTCTTCAGAAATATGGTATTCATTTGGTTCCAACGTGCAGCCTGACCACTAGATGACACTCAACCCTACACAATAGCCCTTCAAAGATAACAAACCTGGCATCTGATTGGCTGAACCTGTGGTGGGGCTGTCAGACATGGTCCTAGTTTCAACGCTGGCCTTCTTGGGGATAGGCAGCGTGTTGTTGGGGGAGCGGGTGGGGCTGGTGCTGGTGGAGCGGTTTCCTCTCAGCAGGCGCTTCACGTCATCCAGCTCCGTCCCTGTACAGCCGAGCTAACAGTGAGCCTCAAACAGACAACCACCCTGTGCCTAGTTTCATTATACACACAATTTTATATATATTTCTTGAGTAAATTGTTCTGTCATAAAGACATTCTCTAGAATCAGAAATTGGATATGCATGACAATAAAGGGTCATACTCACAACTTGCTGGAGGAGAAGCACTCTGAAGTCTTGCTCTGATTTCACTCTCTAGACAAAGAGAACAGTTGTAGATCTAAAATCATTGGCACTTTAATGTAATTTCATAATCTGTAAATTGGAGGACGAAATTGTATTAATGTGTATTTTTATGCATGTTTTATGAACTAATGTGCCAGAGCAGCCAGTGTACCTCTGCTCTGAGTTCTCCCTCTGGTGGCAGAGCTAGAAGCTAGACTTGAAGTGCCTGAAAGAAAAACAGATGAAGTGATTGACATTTTGAATACATCTTCACATTCCCAAGCTCCTGAGGTACCAGTTAAGTCCCATGCCCCCGGTACCGGGGGCAAAACGTAACATCTTGCAAGAAACAGCGTCTGAGGGCTCCTCAACATTTAACAAACTATGAATGTGTCATACCCACTAAATGGGAAGAAACTCAGCTATCAGGCAATATTAACCTGTTAAGCACTGAGCCGGTTTTTCAGGTCTCAGGCTCGAAAATGACATTTCCAGAACAAATGACCATAACTACACTTCAAAAAGGGGAAAATTAATAATCTTTTTTCTCAAAGTAATGATAAACCTGTGAGTTGGATGTAGAAAAGTCAGAATCAATACAGATGTTTTTAATTTTAAAGAAAATTCAGATTGAAAATAGTAAAAAACTGTAAATTATAGTGTCCGTCCAAAAATTCATTTTTACTTATAGTGAAAACCACCCTTGGATGATGGTAAGGTAGACTAAAAGCTTTAGGAATCCAAATTAAAATATATAATAAGTACCCTGTATCAAGATTGATGGAAAACAAGTGACATTTTACCTTTTTAGAGAAGTTTAGCAAAAAAATAAAATGTGGGTGGGAATGGCCGTTTTTACCGTTTCTCTGGAACCCATTGGTCGATTTTGGTGATTGACATCTCTTTTTGACTGTTAGAGCCAATAGAATCGAAGGAGAATTTCCACATACACACACCTTACCATTGAGAAATGAGAGCTATGCGCACACAGTTTTGCATGAGAGCGAACCTATCTCTCGCTCTGACATCTGGAAACGGAAAAGCAGGTTTATTGCTTATGGATTATCAGAAATCATTTCAAATGGACACAGACACATTGGATTAACCTATGGATTAACCTTCAGCAGCGTTTTTAACATTTTAATGCCATTGAAGACCACTTTTGACCAGACAACGACAAAGGTAAGCCATTTTGCCGTTTTTAGCTACCTAGCGCCACATGTTTTGATGTCTGTTCTTGTTAATATCTTCGCAAGTTGTTATCATGGAGTGATAATGTATAGGTATCGATTCTGTGTCTTCTCACGGTGCTAATCGATGGGTTGGAGGTGCAGCTATGATAAGTAATAAGGGTGTTATGAGTGAGTTTCTGTGCAGTAATGCCTTTTTTGCTCGTGGCTAAT